GAGCTGTGGGTGTGGAGCTGTGAGGTGTGTCAGGGCAGCTGTCAGCCTCCGATGGCAGAGAAAGCAGCATATTCCAGTAGGAATTACAGTCGAGAAACAGTTTGGGAAGGAGACAGATGTGGAACTCTCGTTGGGACAGATGTAGAGGCAAGGGCAGCGCCCGCACAGAAGCGTGTCCCTATTTACTGCCACCTGTGGAAAGCTGCAGCCACCTCAGTTCCTTCCCTCACCTGGGAAAGCACTCAAGAACAGGCTGTCATGCTGCAATTTTATATTATTTTTTTAATGTATCTTGACTCCACTTAAACTGTGTCCAGCTGGGAGGCTGCTTAGCGCTTATTTTTGATAAACGGTAAATTCCCTCCCCCAAATCCATCGGTTTTCAGGGGGAAGCTGATAATTTCAGCCAAAGTGAACCAGAAGGAGGAAAGAGAACTGCAAACAAGCCGTCCAGATGCTTTGCCTTCTGAAACGGTGGCTTATTACAAGATTGATTTCTCTCTTATTTGGCGCAAAAGGGAGCTGAGAAACAGCTCTTGCCCTGCTCCTCTTGTAAGACTTTTGCTCTGTGGAAAGGTTAGAGCAGTAAATTCTCAACTCTAAGCCCTTTTTAGCCTTTGTAAGCAGCGCGAGGAAGGCGAGATGTGTAGGTAGCGCTGCACCAGGGTTGCGATGCTGCTGGTGCTACTGGTGTGGAGCTTCAGATCGCAGCAGGTTGAGGGGAGGAGGAAACTGGGACCAGCGCAGTGTGAGGATCTGCCTTACTGGTCCTGTTGGGAAGGGGCTGGGAGAATCGCAGGGCTTTGGGTTCATCGCGGGCTGGTGGCAAAGGAGCTCGGAGCTCTTCGGGAGAGCCTGAGAAAGGGATCAGGAAGAGGTTGGGAGCCATCTGTGTGCTTTAAGCTGGATTCTGTTTATACGGAGGAGGATGAACTCAATTCCTCTTCAATCTTTCCAGCCTGTAAACACCAGAATGTAAACACCTCTTTGAATGATTCAGACATATTTCAGAAACTGAGTCAGACTTGAGAACCTCAAACTTTTCCCGGAGGCAGCCAAGTTAGACAGCCTCGAAGCCAAGCGCTCGGCCCCTGCAGAGTGCCTCGTCTCTCCGAGCTGCCTCGCTGCATCACTGGGAGCTTCTGTTCTGTTGGCTCTTGATGTGGACGTAGAACGAAAATGGGAAAGCAGGGAGTGAAAAGTGATTAACCTCTGGCAGGTGGCAATTTTTAAATTTTTTTTTTAGGTTAGGAGAAAGGAAAGAAGGGGTAAGCAGTAACCTACACTTTAGAGGAAAAATTTCCTTCGTTTCTCTCCTTGCTCCTCCTTTATCTGCAAATACGTGCGCAGAGTGATGCTGCAGTAATGGTGGTTGGAAGTTTTGAAGCCGTGATTATTTTTACAGATGGCAAGGCAGTTTTTTTATTTTTCTCTTTTTTTAACTCTTAAGAAATGGCTTTTGATTTAGGGCCTTCCTGTAAAGTTGCCTCCCTCCTCAGAGCCGAGCTGAGCAGAGGGGCTCTGCTGTGTCTCAGCACAGGTGGGGGACATGGTTTAGTGCGTTGATAGGGCTGGAACAAAGGCTGGACTCGACGACCTTCAAGGTCTCTTCCAGCTGAAACTGTTCTATGATTCTATGACATAGAGCGATTTAAGGACTCACTGCGGCTCTCCTGTTCCCCGCAACGTGCTCACACTCTGGGCTTGCTCCCGATTTCAAGGCTGGGATCAAATTCAACGTGTTGCATCAGCATTTACATGCTCAGCCCCGGCCCCGTGGAACACACGACTGTTTTAATCGGGTAGTTCTATCCGTGTCCTGCTTGACAAGTCCCCTGCACTTCAGCTGGACCAAAGCACAGGCTTTATTTTTTGCTGAACCAGCAGCGGGGCATAGGAGAGGGCAACGTTTCCCAAGCTCAGCATCACCCAAACCTTGCTGCTGTCTAACGTTTTGAGTCAGGGCTCCACAGTGCAGATTGGGGGCTCTCTTCTCCCTGATGCTGCACCCAACAGCGCTGGACGGTCCCCGAGAGCTGACCCCAGCACTGCCCTCTTTCAAATTATGAAACGTAGCGTGTGTGAACCCAGCTGTCGGGTTGTTTAGAGCCGAGCGGAGCGAGTGTTGAGAGAAGCTGGTTCCATCTGTTGTTAAGTTTACTGCCAACAAATTTACATTCTGCTCCTTGAAGATAAATTAATAATAGACCGAAATAGCCGGGTTGCTGGTCTGGGTACGCCTGGCTCTGTTCGCAGCCTCTTGCAAGAGCACAAACTGTTTTTTTTTTCCCAAAAGATAATTCTCCCTCTCTGCCCCTTCCAGGCATTACCACAGCATGGAGGTTTTTACCCACTACGATCTATTGAACCTCAACGGAACCAAGGTGGCTGAAGGGCACAAAGCCAGCTTCTGTCTGGAAGACACCGAATGCGAAGCAGGTATGTTTGCCAGAGCCTTTTGTGCCGGGGACGTATCGCTGTCCTCGTACAGACGACAGCTCTGAAGATGCTGTCGAGGTCCTGAGCGGGGCTAGAATGTGGCCTGAAAGAGCCAGAAACCACTCCTGAGGTTATACCTACACGGAGCGGTCTCTACAGGTATAAGAGAATCCCCAAAAACATTCTGTCTGCTGAAGTTTTCAGACCTCAGCTCCTTACATCCTTTACTCTGAGCTGCTGTGAAATCCTCAGTGTCTGTTTTCTGACTGCCGTGAGCTGAGATATTCCCAGACGTGCCGCTGGGTGATGAGCCCCGGAAGGCGCCAGCTCCTCCCGTGCCGTTAAGCGGTTCGTGTGTGTCAATGAAAAGGGGTTGAGCAAGACCCCGTTGGATGAAATCTCACCCAAAACCTCGGTGCCTGGAGCTTAGCGCTCTCTGTGGGAGCCGGAGCACAACTCACCCTTCCTCTGACGTGCCCGAGGGTGGGAAATTCCCAGCCCGTGACTCTGACGCTTCATGCCTTGGACTCTTCTCGTTTAGATGTGCAAAAACAGTACGAATGCGCTAATTTTGGCGAACAAGGCATCACGGTCGGCTGCTGGGACGTGTACCGCCACGACATCGACTGCCAGTGGATCGATATTACCAACGTCCCGCCAGGCGATTACCTCTTCCAGGTACGCGCAGAAAAAGAGGGTCTGAGACAGCGCCGCGGCTTTTCTCTTCTCTCTTAGGGATGACAGGAACTGGTTTAGTTGCACATCTCTGGTACCTCTGATTGCAAAGTGATTCTCTTTTGGGGATCTTGGGAGAGGAGTGAAGAGAAGAGGAATTATTTTTGTCCGCATGTGAAATGTAGAGAAGATGTTTGAGGGGTAGATGTTGGCGCACGGGGGAAGGTGTGATTTTAGGCTGCAGCCAAGTAGTTTCTTGTCTCCTTGCAAAATGAGTTGGGTTTTTTTTCCTGTTAAATATTATGGTGTAACGAAAAAGCTGAGTCTGCCTCAGTCTATTAAGCATCCTATCCCTTCCACCTTTAAATAACTTTACGCTGTGTTTCTCCATCGCTCCCGAGGTTGTCATCAACCCCAATTATGAAGTGGCTGAATCGGATTATTCAAATAACGTGATGAAATGCAGGAGCCGGTACGACGGGCAGCGCATCTGGATGTACAACTGCCACATAGGTGAGGGGGAAACGTTTTACGGGCCGGTGTGCACAGATCAGGCTGCACCGCTGGCTCTTCACTAGGGAATCTCTGCGTTTATCACTTTGTCTGTGCTTGGAAAAATGAGATACTGAGCCTAAACTACACGTTTTTCTTGAAAAGCGGGCAGCGACGGGTAAAGCAGAGCCATGGAGAGCCCCCTGCTCAAGCAGAAATGAAAATGTTCTGCTGTCCCTTGAACGTGAAGGAAAGCTGCATATTTTTTTGAATATATGTAAAGCATTATGTTTTAGAATTTTTTTTGGTCTTGGAAATATCAAAGCCAAACTACTTGAGATTTTCATTAATGGTCAACTGTCAAGGCCATTTTGAAAGAGAATTAAGTTGGGGGCTTTGTAAGATAAACTGGTTTTAACGCAAAAAATAAATCAGCAGCAACTACTTGCCAAAATCCAAATAAAACCAGTGATGAAGACAATTTCCAGAGCTGGCTCAAGCTCTTCAAAGAGTGTTTTTCCTGAAAAAATTCCACGTTACTGCTGATTTTTCTCATTAGTGGGTTGTTTTTCTAAGAAAATACTTGTCTCCTGTGTCACGCTTCAGATGGCAACCTAGTTCGGAAAAGCCAAACCCATGTCATTGGGATGAACAGGCACTTATGTGTTGGATGGGCTCTCCAGCTGAGCTGGAAAATATTTCTATTCAAAAAATAAATGTATTTAGCTTTCATTGTCTCCCATCTAGCAAGAGGAAACAGAACCCACTTAGCCATCAGCCTCAAGGAGGCTGGTCCTGAGAGTCACTAATTTCTTTAAGCAACCAAGGTCAGCAGTGAAATTGAGGGTAGGTTGGGGTCTAGTCCTCCAAATACATAAACTATGAGATCGAGTACTCCTGCGGACTCTTGCCTGTCCCATTTACGGTGAGATTTACTTACTGCTTAACCTAATTATCCCAGGAAAATCTTTGCTCTCCTCGTACCTCGCTCTGAGCCCTTCGTTTGCACAGCAGCATCCTCAGCTTGTTACACAACCCTCCGGGGTGTTCTCTGCCGTGTTACCTCCTGCTCAAGCCTCTGCTCTCTCTCCGTGACTTCCCCAGGTGGCTCCTTCAGCGAGGAGACGGAACAGAAGTTCGACCACTTCAGCGGACTCTCAAATAACAAGGTGTCCAGCCGATAGAACAGCGTCGCCTTCCCGCTCCACTATTTAAAGAAGCGAGGTTTCCTGCTTCGGTGATTTCCCTAACCACTGCACACACACACACACACACTAAAAAAAAAAGAAAGAAAAATCAAGCAAACAATCAAAACTCTAAATCAGCCAGGTAAATTATTTCCTGAAGGTGCCTTCCTTCCCGGTTTAGGTGCTCAGACCGCCACGTGTCTCACAGCTCCGGTCCCTAACTACTGAGGTAGGCAGGAGCAGGCTTTGAACCTCAACTTGGCTCCGTATCTTCACCTCCACGACAACTCCTCCCTCCACTTGGCAGCGCCATCGCTACTCGCAGGCGTAGGTCCAGGCTGCAGCAAGCACCGCTTGCCTTTGTTCGGGTACGAGCAACCCAAATCTGTCTCTGCCATTCATCTGCTTCAAGTCATTAATCTCTGCATCTTTAAGCTCTCTGACTCAAGCCTCAACGCACCAGCGAAGCGAACGCCTCCATTTGTGACGCCGCTCCTCGGACGCGGCTAATCCTCAGCGCTGCCACGGCACTGCTCCACTTTAGCACAGAAATACAAGGGGAAAAAAATATTAAAAAATTGGAGCAGCTTTTTTTTCTGAGCAGAACAGCCTAAAGCATAATTTAATCCTGCAGTGAAACTCTTGTACTCAACGACCAACTGCCAACACGATCCCTTGCGCGGAGCGGCTAACGCAGAACTGTTTTCTCCAAGTGCATCAGGGCTCCACCTCCCGAAGACTTTGCAGATCTCCTGATGATGAGGCCGCTGGACTGTGAATTTCCACGACACAGTTAAGCTATTCCCCTGACAGATTCTACGTACATCTTCCCTCCTCAGCTGGATCTTCCCTCTGTCTTGTCTCTAAAGGATGAATTTAGTCAAGGCATTGCATCATCACCGTACCTTAGAGGTAACTTCATGGCTTTCATCATCAGGGAGCTGGACCTGTGCCTGTGTAAGTTGTCTTTAAAAGGATTTTGACGCTCGGTGAATTCAGAATGGTGCTAAAGTGAGTTCCTCTGTTTGTTTGAGGACGCACGTTGCTACAGATTTTTCAGACACAGCTACTTGAATAAAAATGTTTTACCCAGAGAAATGTTTTATACGCCATTTGTGTATTTCTACTCCAGGAAAGATACTGAAGTTGGTTTTTTTTCTCCCTCCGTATGGAAGACTTCTCCAAGCAGCTGAAGTGAATACTTAGAGCTGAACACGCTTCAGCCCCCAAGGGGATTGAAACTGGCTGCATCTACCTTGTGCTCTCCGTAACCTACCTCACAGGGATCTTGTGAGGCTCCAAGAAGGCAGAAGTCTTTTGCTAATGCCTGCCAGAGTATTTCTCTCGGTTATCCAGTGGCCCAGACGGTGGCCCCTAGCAAAGGTTTTGAGCCTACGGTAGGTTGGAAAGCTCCGTTTTGTTCTCGAGATGCCCGGCTGCGTAGCAAAAGAGTCCGAGATACAGGGGATGCTCGGTTGCTGCTGCCACAACGAGGTGTCTTGCAGCAGCTCTTAACAGCAGCCTTTGGGCAAATCAGAACCGACAGGTTCTGGTTTCCTTTTCCCCAACAGTGTATGACAATTTTCCTTGCCAACAGTGCCAACAAAGTAACTCAGGCTCTTTAAACACCAGGTAAATAAGGAAAAACCCTGAAACTCACTTGCATTCAAGGCTTGTCAGTTTTGTGAAAGATTTGAACAATAACATTACAACAAAGTAAACATTAAACAGATTTTTTTTTTTCCTGATTCCTGCAGATGCTCTGCTGAATTTTGGCCAACTAGAAAGAACTCCTTTAAGCTAATGCATTTGTTGAACATTACAGAACATTTCCGTAAACAGCCTTACTTTCTGCAAGTGCCCCGGTGAGTTAACAGCTGCTTTGACCCAGAGCCGGGCACCGCAGAGCCAGCAGCAGCCCTCACAGGGCTTGGCTTTTGAGCTCGAGACCTCATCAACACTAACCCTGTTCCCCTTCCCAACTTCAGAAAGAAAAGATGGTGCTAATCTCTTAAGAGAACATCCCCGTGGCAACTCACTGTTCTGCATGCAGTTTAATACCACAGCCATGCTCATCTATACATCTTTTTTTTTTTTTTTTTTCCTTTTTTTCCTCGAGCTGAGATGGTTTATTCCTCCTGGTCCAAGCTTTCCGGCGGGAGCGCGTCGGCGCCTGAGCCGTCCTGCTGCTTGTGCTTCAACCCCAGCGCCCGGGTCACCAGCCTCTTCGCCACCGCCGTGTCGGTCTGGGGTCTTTCTTTTGCAAGGTGCAGGAGCTCTAGGTAAAAACGGGTGAAAATCATGAAGTTAGTGCTTGTTCAGGAACAGGTTTGTGGCTAAACCCTAGGACTGGCAGAGAGAAGGGCTGATTTCTATCAGATCCTTTAAAGGATTAGCCCAGGAGCGCCA